GGTCTCCCTGTAGCCCCAGCTGTCTTGGAACTCACTATGTAGACCAGGCTGGCCTCAAACTCACAGAGATCCACCTACCTCTGCCTCCCAAGTGCTAGGACTAAAGGTGTGTGCCCATGCTCGGCTTTTAAAAAAAGGTTTTTAAAAGGGGCTAGGAAGATGGCTGAGCGGTTCAGAGTATTTGCTGCTCTTCCAGTGGACCTGGGCTGAATTCCCAGCACCCACATGGCAGCTAACAACCATCAATAACTCTAGTCCCAGGGAATCTGCCGCCTTCTTCTGACCTATGTGGGCACTACACGACATGGGTGCACTTACCTACACGCAGGCAATACACTCATACACATAAAATATGAGTGTTATGCCTGCGTGTAGGTAAGTGCACCCGTGTCTGCAATGCCCACACAGGACAGAAGAGGCTGTTGGATGCCCTGGGACTGGAGTTATGGACAGTTGTTAGCTGCCATGTGGGTGCTGGGATTTAAACCTGCGTCTTCTGCAAGAACAGTTAGTGTTCTTAACCACTGAGCCATCTCTCAGCCTCCCAATTTTTTCTCTCTCTCTCTCTTTTTTTTTTTTTTTGGTCTTTTTCAACTTTTTTGAGACAGGGTCTCCCTGTAGCCCCAGCTAGCCTAGAACTCACTATGTAGACCAGGCTGGCCTTGAACTCACAAAGATCCGTCTGCCTCTGCCTCCCAAGTGCTGGGATTAAAGGTGTGCGCCACCATGCCTGGCTTCCAAAATATTTTACTTATTATTTTTATTTTACGTGTATGAGTGTATTGCCACATGTAGGTAAGTGCACCGGTGTCATGCAATGCTGGTGGAGGACAGAAAAGGTCATCAGACCGCTGGAACTGGAGTTACAGACACTTGTTGGCTGCCGTGTGGGTGCTGGGATTTGAACCTCGGTCTTCTGCAAGAACATCCAATGTTCTTAACTGCTGAGCCATCTCTCCAAGCCCCATAAAATATATTTTAAAAAAATAATATATATATATATTTTTAAAAGGGGGACAGCTCTAAGGTCTTTTTCAAACTGTGTGACTTCTGACTTGGGGTCATCTGGCATTGCAAGAACTTTTGGTCACTGTCGCTAGGGGGCAGTCATGATACAGATGTGAGAAACCATTCTTAGAATTAAAAAATGTTAATGAAGGGGCTGGAGAGATGGCTCAGCGGTTAAGAATACTGACTATTCTTGCAGAAGACCGGGGGGTTTGAATCCCAGCACCCACATGGCAGCTAACAACTGTCCGTAACTCCAGTTCCAGGGGACCCAACAGCTTCTTCTGACCTCTGAGGGCATTGAATGATACGGACGCACTTACCTACATGCAGGCAAACACACACAAAATAAAATTTAAAAAAAAAAATATTAAAAAAAATGTTGATGAAAATTAGGTAAGAAAGGCTGGGTGTGTAGTGCATGCCTTTAGTCCTAGCACTCAGGAGGCAGAGGCAGGCGGATCTCTGTGAGTTTGAGGTCAGCCTGGTCTACATGGTGAGTTCCAGGCCAGCTGGGGCTACAGAAAGACCTTGTCTGAAAAAGACCAAAAAAAGAAAAAAAGAAAGAAAATTATGTAAGAAACACTGGTCAGCAAAAACACCAGTGGTACTTAATTATAACTAAATAGTGGTAGTTAAAAAATAACATAATTGTTATACCCAAAATACTGAAACAAACACCATGTATTTGTCCAGCACTACTTCCTGGATGCTATTACCACCAGCAGCACTGTCTGACAAGCTTGGGATGCTGCAAGTCTGATCCCAAGCTGACATCTCAGGTAAGGGGGAGACCCTTGTCCCACTCAAAGAACCTGGTGCTGTGTCTGGGAAAATACCACCAGAAGTTATACAAGTGTAAAAACAAAACAAAACACCCTCTTCCCCAAGTCACAATGGGAATGAAAGGGGGAGGAAAGAGGGTAATGGGGCAAAAAATAAAAGGGCCAAATACATTCTACGCATGTATGATTATAAACACCACCAACACCCCCTCCCAACAACAAAAGATATAAGGATGTCAGGTGGAGCCCACAATAGTGACTAGCATTGTGAATCAACAACATTCCATCTTAAAGCTCAGAAAAAGCCCATGCAGACTACAGTTACTAGTGAAGTTTTATACAACAAAGTTTGGCTTCTAAAATTTGGTACTTACAGAGTAAGCTAGTGTTACTAAGCCATAGTAAGGAATCTTTTAATTCATTTCCACTGAGAAGTCTACCAACAAGTGATGCCTGATAATGCTGTAAGACTCCTAATCAGAATCTCGTAATCAGAAATAACAGTGCCACTCCTCTGCCGCTAGTCCTGCTTTTAAGAGATAACCTCCGGGGCTGGAGAGATGGCTCAGTGGCTAAGAACACTGGTTGTTCTAGCAGAAGACCCGGGTTCAAATCCCAGCACCCACATGGCAGCTAACAACTGTCCGTAACTCCAGTCCCAGGGGATCCGACAGCCTCTTCTGACCTCCGAGGGCATTGCACAACACGGGTGCACTTACCTACATGCAGGCAATACACGCATACACATAAAATAAAAATAAATAAAATTTAAAAAGAGACAAACTCCAATAGATTAGCTTGTATTAGGTTGTTAGGTTAACACTACAGTAGAAATAATAAACTATATCTATGCACATAGTATTTGTGGTCTAAAAACTTTTCCAAAATGAAAAAAAACATAACTTTGTATGTGCCATCCCTAAAGTTTGCTATTATTAATAGCCTGTTCTTTATGATAAAGATAAGTATAAAATAATTGCTAGATTATTTCCAAGTCTTGAATGACATTGATTTGGTCTGTATTTGTTTTGTGAGACTAAGTTTCAATATGTAGCTCTGGCTAACTTAGAACCTGTTCCTTTCTTTCAAATTCACTCTTACCAATCACCAAACAATACTTTCCTACTAACAGTGGGGGCATGGAATAAAGGCTTCCATCCTGTTAAAACTAGCAAAAGTAAAGTAAATAAATACAAGGTGATGGCAAATATACCCTCATGGGGCCTGATGTGCTTGGTGGTGCACATCTTTAATCCCAGCATTTGGGAGGCAAAGACAGGCAGATCTCTGTGAGTTTGAAGCCTGTCTGGTCTACATAGGGAGCTCCAGGCCAGCCAGGGCTACATAATGAGACCCTGTCTCAAGAAAACAAAACAAAATAAAAATACCAAAGCAAGATAAGGTTCCATGAACATTTGAGATAGGTAATACGATATTTATTTCTGCTCTTGGCTATAGACCTTACAACAAATACAATGGATTCATCTTTGAGATGACAATGTCTTTACTACTGAACACTAACATAAGAAAAAACTAAGGTACAATTAAGCATGATTCTGACATCTGTAAGTCAGTCAAGCTGGGGGCATAAGTCATGTACATGTAGCCCTAAGTACTTGGAAGAATTACATGTGGATTGAGAAACCAGCTAGGAGACTGAGGCCAGCCTGGCAATCATGAGACCTGTACACATACTCTCCCTCAATAGCTTCCCATCTCCCACAAAATCCACCCCAACTCTCACTACTTATGGATGCTAAAACTTGAATTTCATACAATTTCCAAAGTAAGCCTTTTTGTCTGCAGGCCAGCTTTATGGCACAAAGCACACCAGTGTTTATCCTACAAACATTAGGAGGTAAAAGGCAACAGCCTTGTTGTGTTAAGTTATGAACCTAGCCATGAAGCCTGCCTTGCATTTAACATGCCAGTGAGGATCCACTATACCCCATGTTTAGATCTGTACACTCAAGGTGACAAACCTCAGATACGCCCTGGTCTCAACAGTCTGAAAACCCTGTTCTACTGGGGACTCTAATTAGTGAAACAAAACCAGACACAACTCCAACAAACCAGCTTCTCTGGATGGCACTGTTTCAGATGACCTTCATGGACTAGGAGCATCTTGAAAGATTCTAAGTAAGCAAAGTAAAGGCCTTGTCTAGTTCTGGCCTTGTGTGCCCTTTCCTGAGTGTGACAGGAAATCCAACAGGCTTTCAAGCCAATTTCTTTCTGAACCTGTAGCACTTGCTGAGATCCCAGAATAGCATGATTCTCCGCAGCCACTTTCAAGTCTTCAGAACTGAAAGAGGGGAAGATGAGTTCGCTCCTGAAGGTTCAAGGGTTTGGAGTGTTTTTATTCTTCCTATGCTTCACATCTCTACAAAGGGCTCCTGCTGAATAAAAATAAAAAGACTGCTCCCGATTCCTTCTTCTCGAAGCTGATTCTGGATATGAAGGTTCCATTCAGTCTGAGGCTAGATTTCTACTGACTGGAACATCAGAGGACATGGACACAAATAATTCAATGTATACTGGGTGAAGTTTCTGAAATATTTCTTTGACTCCAACTAGAGAAATATACGTTTAACAGAATACCTCCTGCAACCCAAGCCTCCAAAACTATACCATCACCACCGTTTGTATACAAAAGAAGCCTTCTTGGTTTATAAGTGCTTGAAAACAATACTTACTGTTTTCTATGGTTGGATCGTAGGAGTCAACAAATTGGCCTTCAACAAACTGAATTGTCAATGAGGACTTCCCTAGAAAAGAACAGCTTAGAATTATTGGCATATTTGGGTAAAAATAACTGTCTTACAAAAAAGCCACTCAGATGAAGAAACTGAAGACACCAAACTTTACCACCTGGGCTCGCAATCGCAAAAGTGAAATATATTTCATTAATTTGATTTTTACGAGAAGACTAACACAAATTCTTTCTCTTTGTTTTGTTGTTTGAGAAAAGGTCTCACTCTGCAGCCTTGGCTGCCTTGGGACTGAAGAGATCCACCTGCCTCTGCCTTCCCCAAGGGCTGGGATTAAAAGCACTACCGTTGGCAGGTTTTTTTCAGACTGTGTGTGACGTTCCTGTAACTTTTTCCCTCCACTATTTACTCATTTGCTTGATTTTTCTGTAGATGTACACAGTGCATGGGGGTCCAGCACTGTCCTTCAGGTGCTGCCCACCTTAAAGAAAAGAAAGGCATGCTTACTCCAGCAGCACATACACTAAAACTGGAATGATACAGAGATTAGCACAGCCCCTGTGCAAGGACGACATGCAAATTCGTGAAGCATTTTATATTTTTCTGCACTTTTGCAATTTTTCTGAAAGTTTTAAGTATTTTATACTAAAATATGATTAAGAGTATAAAATAAATGAATAGTCTGTACGGAAGGAAGGGAGGGAGGAAGGGAGGAAGGGAGGAAGAGAGGGAGGAAGGACGGAAAGGAAAGGAGCACTCACTGTTGATTGTAAGCCCACAGCTCTCCATCTCTGCCTCCCCAGCCCTGAGATTACAAGTACATGCTACATTGCCCCCCCTTTTTTTTTTGGTCTTTTTGAGACAGGGTCTCCCAGTAGCCCCAGTTGGCCTGGAACTCACTATGTAGACCAGGCTGGCCTCGAACTCACAGGGATCCGCCTGCCTCTGCCTCCGAGTGCTGCTAGGATTAAAGGCATGCACCACCACGCCTGGCACATTGCCCTTTTTTAAAAAAAATGTGAGTTCTAGGAATTAAACTCAAGTCCTTGTACTTGCAAGGCAAGCACTTCACTGATGCTGTATCTCCCCAGCTCCTCCATTTATTATTATTTTTTAATTAGTCTATATTAAGTGCAGAAATCTTACGAAATCATGCATGACACTGATACTGATAGGATACAATATTCTTTGATCGTGGTCATCCCACCCTCTCCTGTCCGCTGCTCCCCACCTCTTGTTGATTCTCTTCTACCTTCCATGTCTTTTTTTCCCTACATAAGAAAAATTCTTAAAGAAGTTCCACATCATGGTAATTTCTGATGTCCTTGAAATCTGACTACTTACTACATATTATGTGCACCCATTTCTAATATGCTGTTACAAGGGTTACCAAGCACAACCTTTAAAGACAGTAATCTAAAAGTACTTTTAAAAATAATGATTAATTTTATGTGCATGAGTGTATTGCTTGCATACAGGTAGGTGCGCCCGTGTTATCCAATGTTCTCGGAGGTCAGAAGAGGGTGGTCAGATCCCCTGGAACTGGAGTTAGGGATGAGTGTCAGCTGCCAGGAGGGTGCTGGGAATTGAACCCAGCTAGGTCCTCCGTAAGAGCAGCCAGTGCTGTTAACCAGAGTCATCTCTCCAGTCCCTGAAAATATTGTTTACACAAGCATTTCACTTAAAATACCTCTTTATATAGAATCCTGCCATAGTCATTGGGGACAGGCCTAGGGATACCCAGACAATTAATATTTTGAATTTCAAACTCCCTAGTACCAAGCCTGTATGATAACACATCAAGAACTACAATCTTGATATCTTACTCCATGCTGGCTTCCTAAAATTCTTCCTGGAGGACTTCAGAAGACACAGTGAGAAAAGAACTCAACTCATTTTAGCACCAGGAAATAAAACAGTGGCCCCCTCATTCATATCACCCCCAAACTCTTCTCTTTCATGTCCTCAGAACATTATTAAACGTGCTTCATCTGCTCAGATTTAACTTGTACTTCAGAAGACATTTCAATACCAGTCCTATACTGCAGGGTTTGGGTTTCCTGGTGCTATGCAGCAATTTCCTCCCTGAGAAACTTCCCATCCTGGAAGGAATCATGTTAAGGTGCAGGATATTCTTCTAAAGAGGTGAAATATTCCATTCAGAGGGGAAACTAGTTAAGTTTAGGAAGTAACCCAACTCAAAAGCTTCAGGAAGAACCTGAAACTGACCAGATCTACCTGGCTCCTCCCTGTCTTCAGCAAGCTGAAATAAGCAGTAAGGACTGTTGAGACTCCCCAGTCTGTTGACCTGCATGCAGGTGGGGTGCATCCAGGGCTCCAGCTTTTGTGAGCTGTCACCCATGCTGGGATGAGCTTTTGGTGATGCAGCTGTCTCTGAAACATTTGTGCTCCTGTAAGTAACTCCAATAAAACTCACTGGTTCACCAAGTTTGGACTTTGGTGGTATCCTTACTTTGGTCTGTCATCTGGGGTGAGTGAGAAAACATTTGGCCATGACTCCCTAGGAATAGTCACACAACAGCAGGCCACCAAGCCAGAATGGTAGAGCTCACAGGCTGCACAATGCTTTCATACCAAGGCATCCCACGCAACAATAAAAATGAAATGAATTCATTAAAAACAGCACCTGCTGGAAGATAGAAACCCACAGCCAGCAGACCATTTACTCCTCACCAGCAGCTCAGCCCCTTACTGCAGCCACCATGAATCCCCACTCCACCACAGCCTACAGGATCAGGTGCACAGCTGAGGGTACCTCTGGCCTCACCTGCCACTTCCCAGACCTCCCAGGATCCAGTCACTACTTTTCTGCTTTCACCAACCTCCTGCTGCCTTGACCTCACTTTTCAAGCCACCATCCCCCCAGATCGGAGTGTATGACTCATTTTTGCCATTTTGGGCTGAACACAAATGTTGGCTCTACAGTGAAGCAGTCTTGAAACCACCTACCTAAGGCAGCACCTGCTCCCTACCAGTCACTCCCTTGCAGTTTCCTTACCGCTTACACTGAAATGATCACTAGCAGTTTCCTGAATTCAGCTTCACCTGGACACACTGTAGACTCTAACTGAACAAAACCAAAGTTCAGCTCTTACTCGTCTTTATTTAGATACTGCAAAGACCTCAATTTTACAGGAATAAAACAGGAAACCTAGCTTAACAGAAAACCAGGAATTCAGATCTAAACTGGACTGTGCTCAAAAGAAACCAGTTATGTATGTTAGTCAATATTGCAGACTCTAACTCAAGCTTTTAACTATTTCATATAACAAAGACATCAAAGGGGGAAAAAAAACCCTTTGTTATTGAAACTGAAAAATTGAAAAAAAATAAGAAAATTCTTATTTACATATATTCACATCTACTATTACTATTTGGAGCCAGAGAAGTTTAATTAGAAAGAGAAAGAGGGATGCATCTAAAGCAGCTCAGCTCTTCTCAAAGGTCAAGTTCCTTGTGCATGTGCTGGCAGCTACTTATAGGCAAATTGTTCTTCACTGTGATCACCTTATACAATTCTCCCTCAAAATTTCAAGCATTTACTTTGGCTTTTGTCTCCAGCAAATGTGGGCTGTGAAGCACTAGATATCTGCAAAAGGAGTCAGTGATGGCCGTGCTCTAAACTTGTAGAACCTGAGGAGAATCTCGAACACCATCAAATTATCAGAGAAATGTTACAGGTAAACAACCCAAGAGTGATCTGAAGTGAACAGAAAAGCAGCATGTATCTGAATGTGTGCATCTGCACAAACGCCCAATCACTCACCATCAATGGCACAGAATATAAAGGCGTGAAAAGAATACAGTCAAACCCCACAATTAACTTCTAGACTCCTCTTCCTAATACAAAATGATCTTAATTAAGCTGGTCCAGAACTCCCTATGTACACCAGGCTGGCCCTAAACTGGCAGAGATATCCATCTGGCCCCACATCCCAAGTTCTGGGATAAAGGTGTGTGCCATCATGCCAGCAATACAAGATTCTTTTCTAAAGAATGTTTCTGAACTTTTACCAGGTAAGAAAGCATCATCAAGCTTTGGTTTTGCCACAGTAAAATGGCATGGACATGTTCCACTCTCCAGGGGTACTCTCAAGGCTGCCATCAGATCTCTGCTTTGTGAGTACCATGAAATGTGCACTGTTTACCCAACTACAATTGTTTTCAGATTATTTAAAATTTGCTTTCATATTTGTTCTCCTAAATATATATATGTAACTGTTAGCATACCTCTCTCTCACTGAGCAGTCTCTACTAGGAGCAGTCTCTACTAGAACAATTTATATGTTACTGGTTTATATGTACTGGGTCTAACAACTATGCTATCAAGTCATCTGGCAGTAGCAGAGAGTAGAGGAGTCCACTGGAACTACACTATGTCTGGGACAAACCCATTTCAAGGACAGGACCCCTACTCTTTTTTTTTTTTTTTAAAAGAGCTGGAAACTGAACCCAGGGACTTAAACATACTAGGTGTGGACTCTACCAGAGTGACACCCTGGCCCCACCCTAAATTCTTAGCCCACAGAGACACTGATGTCTGGTACAACAGTGGCTGCAAAGCCCGTGGTGTCGCCACCTTTGCTCTCACCTCCACAGCACCTTAACTGCTTTCCCTGTGACTCAGGGCCTGCTGAGTACCAGTCAATCAGTCTCGGCACTGGGCCAGCACATTTACTTTCTGACAGTCATCACCTCATCCAGACCAATTCTGAAGCAATGTTTTCAAAGCAGAGGCAGTGAGACCACTAGGTCACGATACCAACTTACTGAGCTATGACCCACACTGTTTTCTTGAGGAACAGGAACACTGGCCTGGATGCCCACAAAGACGGCGAGAAACTTTTACCTCAGTTATACTCGCATTTATAACTGGTTGACAATAAAAATAGCCAGATGTGGTGGTGCACACTAATCTCAGCACTCAGGAGGCAGAGGCAGGCATATTTCTGAGATCGAGGCCAGCCTGGTCTATACAGAAAGTTCCAGGACAGGTGGGGCTACAGGGAGACACTGCTTCAAAAAGAAAAACAAAACAAAAAGGAGCAAAGATGCAAAAAGGGTAGAAATATGTTACTGGAGAAGGGGGTTCCATGGTGTAATGGAACTGTGGACCCAAAAATGATACTGCCTTAAACCATCACTCTCAATCTCTAATCTCCACAGGTTTCCCTTCCTTTAACCCCAAGACAAAGCATTTCCTTCTACTCTTCTGTTGGAAGCCTCCAATTTCCTTTCTCTGAGCCTTCAGACAGACCTGTGATCTTGGTCTGGTCAATCACTGTTGCAGCCTGTTCAGCCTGGCTGGAGAAAGATCAACAGTATGGCCCAAAGGCCGGCATTGGGTTTACAAGCTAGGTCTTTCCTTCCAGGCCCTGTCTCCGTAGCTCCCTTTCCTCCTCCACTCATGGTTCTAAGTGCTAAGTGCACTCCCAGCAGCCTAGCACAATGGGATACTTGTTACCAACACAAGTTATCGAGTCCATTCAAACCTCCTAGACAGGAATATTAGCAAGTATCACAAGAATGCTCTGCATAGTACATTTTAGAAGCATGTCCTCATGCAGCAAGTTCAACCCCAT